TACTTCTTTTCTATGTAAAGTGTTAATTAAAATACTTTATCTTATTCAAAACATCTCATATTCAATTAGTATAAGTATAAATATATTTTTTTTTTTTACAAAAACATTTGCGGAAATCTTAAACTCACCAAAAAGATTATTAAATGATTCAATAAATTTCTTATATATAAGAACTTATTAATCATCTAAGAGAATTTTTTTGTTTGTTTCAAGAAAAATCATTATGTCTATGAAGCAGATACAAAAGAAAACAGTGCAAAATAAAGATGTACCGGAACCAGTTTGCAGATGCTGAGTTCCCGATTCCGGGTACCCAGCACCGGGTCAATATTAAAATGTTGGAATAAAATCTTGTACAATCTCTAGCGCTAAATTGCTTTTAAAAAAAAAACCTGGTTATTTACTCTAAATATATCAAGTTTCGTTTTAAAAAACAATTATATTTACACTCGAGGTCACATTCAAATTACGCAAACTAATGAGTAAACCCGAAGTTCGTAAAACTTATTACTACTGCAAATACACTTTATATTTGGTTCTTTGTAATCAACGCTACTATGCGAGAATGATTCCGTTTAACAATGAAAAATAATAAAAATTATAATCAGTCGGCTTTTTTACTACTCATACTTTAGCTGGTCCCGACAGTACGACTTAAATTTACTGTCAATATAACTTATGATAAACTTGTACATATAAATATTTAAAAAACTATATCATTAGATCATGTCACTAATAATATGCTTTTGTTTTAAAATAGATCTCAAAAAGGTATAAAGTTTTTTAATACTGTTATAAACTTATGCAATGTTATTCATAAAATGGTTAACTAATATTATTTCTATCTATGAGATATAAAACTGACAAATAAAATTTTTGTTGTAGTTACAAAAATAAAATTTAAAAAAAGGTAGTAAACAATATTTTAAAAATAAATACCTATTAAAACAATGCATTAACATTTTTATTAAAACTTACTAAACAACTTTGCAACGCAGTGTTATTTCATTCATAAAATAAGAATATTTAGATTATTTTCATTTACACTATTGAGCAATAAATTTGTTCTCAGTTTAGAAAATAAAAGGATAAAAAAAGTATTAAAGATTTTTCCAAGTTTTTAAAATTTCTAAATTTTCAAAAGTTGTCAAAAACAGAAAACTCTCTGTTACTCTACTGCATTAAAAAAAATGTTTATTTAAATAAATGATTTTTAGTTTTCTTACTTTCTCAGTTTATTTAAAGAAATTATTTTTAGTTTTCTTACTTTTCTCCATTTAAATAAATTATTTTTAGTTTTCTTACTTGGCTTGGTTTTTACTCTATGAGCTCTGTAGCCTTTGCGGCACATTTTTTTGAAAATATTAAAGTGTAGTCTCAAAGAGTAAGAATTTGGTTAACTTATAAAATTTGCATTCATTTACAAAAAAAAAAAATTCTTAAGGCCTTACCAAGCCCTCAAAAAAAAAAGAAAAAATTGCGCCAACTGGGTACCACCACTGGGTAAGTTGGCGCAAACTATAAAAATGATTATTAATGTACTATTAAGTGCAAAATTATTAAAAAGTTTTTTAATATTAACTAGTAAACCAATTGTGACTAGAACTTTTACAATATATTTTTTTCATTTGACTGATTATTTTTTTTTGTAAAGTAAAAAGGAACCGATGTTCGATAAGTTACGTTTTTGTCCGAGAAACACAAAATCTTAACATCTCCCATGCGCGTGCACGAATCCTGACAATACTACAGTGAATGATAAAATGGTCAATTAGGAAAGTTCTGTGTAATTTTTTCGCTTTATGATAAAAGGCTCTTACCCATGCGGCCAACTAGCCCCGGTCCTCCCGGGGCTAGTTGGTAAGAGAAGAAATTATTAGATTATTCTGATAATAAAACATTATGTTTAATAGCAAAATTATAAGAAAAGAGCAAGGCATGTTCTCAGCTGGTAGGACAGTATATTTCCACCTGCAGAAAATATGCGCTCTGTTATAGATGTTGAGAAATCTTAACTAAATTATTTAAAAAATTTAAATAAGGAAACAAAAATTTAAATTTTTGTTTGCTTGTTTAAATTATATTATTTATTTAATTAAATTATGTATTTATTAACAAAAAGTTAAATTTCGAAAATAATTCAAAATCTGAAAATACTGATGTTTCTAAAACCTTATTTTAAATTCAATAAGAAAATCCGCGCCAAATAAATTTTTCAATTAATTAACGTGAACAGTGAGTTCGAACGTTGTTTACCTTTCGTTTAGTTTTCGTTTAAAAAAAGTAAAATTTTTATTCAAAATTGTAAAGTAAGCAGAGAGGATTCTGCGATCCTATTCGAACGTGTGTGCGATTGAAATCAGCTAATTTTATTTACCTATAAGTGCTTTTTTATTTTATCCAAAACTATTATTTTTTTCTTTTTAACTTTGAGTTTTCATAAATTTTTAATTACAGTTTTTAACGGTTTGGGGATGAATGTTTCTCCACATACACACAAGGAAAATCAAATTTAACTCATAAACATTAATTATAAGAATATACCCAGCTGAAAAAATCCAGTTCTACAAACCCAAAAATCCAGTTCTACAAACCTTGTTTGTAGAACTGGATTTTTGAAGACATTTTTATTAGACATTTTGTAACTTTTGAAAAATAACCCCTCTCTCGTAATAATTTAAAAGCACTCCTGTTTGTAGAGCATGTGTTTCGCTTTAATTTAAAGCAATATTTTATTGGTGAAATATTGTATAACTAAGATAAGCATTTTTACTTATTGTTATATTTCATGATTTTATTTCATGCCAATCCCAGTACCTGACAAAACGACGTTTATACTTTTAAAAAATCGAATTACGTGCAAAATTTGAAATGAATGAGAAAAAAAACTGCATTGGCATCATTTTTAAGTTTGCAAAAACGCTTTGTGGCATTCAAAATTTGCTATATATTAACGTATGGGCTGTCATTTAAATCGAAATCCATACGATCACGTATATACAAACCTGTTATATATCGTTAATATCTTCAAGTTTCGCTAATTTTTTTTAATTATTTTTTTTTATTGGTAAAATACTTTTTTAAACCTAAATCTAAGGAAAAAAAAATTAAAAAAAAAACATTTATGGTGATAACTACCATTATAATATTAGTTATTATTATTATTGTTTTTTTCATTGCAAATATTGTAAGCATACTTTTTTATTACTATAATTTGTATTATTATTATTATTTTATCTTACATTAGTATAATATATTATTATTGCTATTATTTTTGCTATTATTATTATTACTATTACGGTGCAATACCATGATTTATTTTACTTACGCTATTTTCATTAAAAAAAAAAGACATAGGATTTTAAGGAGTCTGGAGTGAAATTTTTTAAAATTTAAACAAAATTAAAGCGTTTTTCGACGTCAACAATACCTGTACACCGCCCGTTTTTTTTAAGTTTGAACTCAAATATTTAAAACCGTAGTAATTAAGTTATAAAAATAGAATTGAAAATCATATATAGATTGTTCTTGTAGCATTAGTTATATGATAAATAAAGATTATTAGCATATATTTTTTTGGTTATGTTGATAAATATAATTTATTTTCAACGCTTTTACTTAATCGGCTTTCTGAAACATGCTTAAACTTTGTTTAAAGTGTTATTTTGAAACGTTTAAAAGTCCGTTTAAAGTGGACTTATTTACGTTTAAAACGTCACTTAAAATGGACTTACTTAAACTGTTTAAAATGTTGCTTAAATTGAGCTTATTAAAAACATTTAAAACTGGATTTATTTACATTGAAACGCTTAAAACCTCGCTTGGAATGGACTTACTTAATTTGTTTGAAACAAATTAAAGTGAGCTTATTTAAAACATTTGAAACTTCGCTTAAAGTGGATTTATTTAAAATATGTTTGAAATTTCGCTTTAAATGGATTTATACAAAACATGTTGAAAAGTTTGCTTTAAATGGACTTTAAATTAAGTGTAAAAATAATGTGTAAGGGTTGCTTTAAATTTAGTTTTACAAATTATTTTATTGCTTTCTTACAGATGAACAAATTTAACTTTACCTTGGTTAATAAATTCTTTTAATTTAACTTATAATAATTTTTATTTTTTTTGAACAAAATCTATGCGTTAGCGACCTCATTAATTGCATTTTTTATGTTATATCTGTAGAAAGAAAGATTTAACATTTCATTTAAGTTTGGTTAGTATAAGGTGTATGATGCCTTATAGAACTAAAAAACACGATTAAATATTGTAAAGATTTATACACAAAACCTAGTCTCAAAATGTAGATCCACTTTAAGTGTTTTTTTGTACAGTGACGAAATATACATGGTCAAAATAACAAACACTTAAACTCAAAATTATGCTTTTAAAACAAAACTTCCTATCCGCAAACCTTTATAGAAGCAATAGTCCGATTAGAAAAACTTGCTATTAACTTTTCAACAGCTATAACTTAGTCTAAAAACTAATCAAAAACGTAAAGTGGACTCAAAAAAGTCCACTTTAAGTAAAAGTCCACTTTAAGTTAAGTTTTTACCAATGAAAAGGCCACTTTAAGTCGATCTAACAAAATATATATATATATATATATACACACACACATATATATATATATATATACACATATATATATATATATATATATATATATATATATATATATATATATATATATATATATATATATATATATATATATACATACATACATACATATATATATATATATATATATATATTATATATATATATATATATATATACATATATATATATATATATATATATATATATATATATATATATATATATATATATATATATATATATATATATACATATATACTTTTGTATACATGAGTTTCATCTTTATAGTTTATATGTTATATATTATCACAATATTTATTTTAAATTGTCATTAACATTTTCAATGTTTCTTATACATTGTTTTTTTTTAGGCGAAACAGTTATCATTAATTGGCGGTAAAAATCTAGCTGATACAATTAAAAATATTTTGCTCTTGTAAGTAATTAGCAAAAGTTTGAATTTTAACATTTATGATTGACAGTACAGCATTTATCTTCTTTTTTATATATGTAGACTGCCAACAGACACTATTTTGTCAGAATACAGCATGAATTGTCTAAAGAAGAAAAAAAATTTTAAAGAGTTGACAATTCTATGTAACCTTGTCACTGGTATTCTTATTAGCTTATTAATGTGTTTTATTAATTAAAAACTAAAAATGATGTTTTAATTAAAAAAAAAAAAAAAAATTTAATTTCTTTTGCTATGGAACATGACATTTATTCGAGTGTATGAATACATGACATGTATATTTTATTTTATGATCTTATTGAAACATGTTTTTGTTGTTTTTTTTAGAAGCTGCTTTTAAGTCAAATAAAAACTTAACCAAAATGAATGCCATCCAACTTATTGGGAGAGTAAGTAGGCATTCTTCTGACCGAATAAAGAGAACATTTACTAATATGGTTTTCGATCAATGATGGCTTAATTAACTGTTGTATTTATTTATTTTTTTTCCATTTTTATAAGCAATTTTCTTCTATTTATAATGCACTATCGATTATATTCTACAGTACCTATTAGTTTTTAATTTGGATAATGTAACTTTGTTTGAAAAATTATTCTTATTTTTTGTAAAGTTATTAATTTGTTTTAAATATATCAAATTACACTTTATTTACATTGATTTCTTTTTATAACTTCTCTTGCCTAGATTAAGGCAAATCTAAGGTGTGTGTTGTAAATCATTGCATTTTTATATAACTTTTAAAAGAATGTCTTGGTAAAATTCAAACGTCTCTAGGACGTCTAGAAAAGACGTCCTTAAGTGGAATCAGTAAGTCCTTAAGATGGAATCAGCCTCAGAGAGGCTGATTCCATCAACAGCCGAAAAATATCAGAGTACTAACAGTGCCATGTTGCGCATGGATGGTGTCCCTGTTTGTACTTTTGGTGTGCATTGCAGAGGCCACATTTGGAGCCCTTTGTTACGGCTTAGGGTTTATTAATAGTAATGAGGCTATTGCTTAGTTGTTAAATAGTGTACTGAGTACTATCTATACTTGAGTCAAGTTCTTTATAAATTTAAAATGACTAAAGTACCTAAAACTAAAAAACACAAAAAACCATCGTCATCACCAAGTTCTCTAAACCTATCATTTACTAATATTCGTGGTCTTCGAAGTAACTTTTCTTCTGTTGAGTCTTATCTCTTGCAAAGTTCACCAGACCTACTTGCTCTTTGTGAGACTAATTTGAGTTCGGCTGTCCCATCTTGTGATCTTAGTGTTGATGGTTATCTTCCTTTAATTCGTAAAGGCTCCAATAATCACATGCTTGGCCTGGGCATCTACATTCGTAAGAACTCACCCATTTGTCGTGAAACTAGGTTTGAATCTACAGACTATTCATTTATGTGCTTTCGTTTAGCACAACTTCACTCTATCGCCTTTCTCTTTGTTCTATATCGCTCCCCTTCATCCCAAGATTGCACTATTCTTGATGTTATTTCTGTTCAAATTGACCAAGCCCTCTCTCTTTATCCATCGGCCAATATCGTCGTTGTTGGTGACTTTAATGCCCATCACACCGATTGGCTTGGCTCTAGTGTCAGTGACTCTGCTGGCGTTAAGGCCCTCAACTTTTGCCTTTCTCAATCTCTAACTCAAATAGTCAACTTTCCAACTCGTTTTCCAGACAACCCTAATCATTTACCTTCTCTACTCGACTTATGTCTTGTTTTGGATCCTAGTCAGTGCTCAATTTCTCCACATTCACCCTTAGGTACTTCTGATCACGGTTTGATCTCTCTAAAACTATTATCAAATTCTTCTACTTCATCAGAATCCCCCTATCATCGTACCACATACAACTACCTTAAAGCTGACTGGGACTCTTTCCGTGATTTTCTTCGTGATGGCCCTTGGGTAGAAATCTTTCGTCTTCCTGCTGACAAATGTGCTTCTTACATAACTTCGTGGATTCAGGCTGGCATGGAATCTTTTATTCCCTCTCGACGATTCCAGGTCAAGCCTCACTCTTCTCCTTGGTTTTCCTCACATTGCGCTGCAGCAATTTCTAATCGAAACCGTTACTTCCATATCTATCAGCAAAACAATTCTCCAGAAAACAGACATCTGTTCACTATCGCCAGAAACCATTGTAAAAAGGTTTTGTCTGACGCCAAAGCTCGCTATTCCCAGGTCATTAAATCTCGTATCTCATCACAAAAATTAGGCTCTCGAGACTTCTGGAGAATCTTTAACAGTATCAATAATAAGGGCAAATCTGTTATTCCTTCTCTCTTGTATGGTTCAGACTTTGTCACCTCACCTAAAGACAAAGCTGAATTGTTTGCTAAGAACTTTTCATCAATATCATCTCTTGATTCCACTAGTTGCGTTTTACCTGACATAGCCGTCAAACAGGTTGATCCCTTGCTTGACATTCGCATCACTTCAGCTTCTGTATCTAAAGTAATTTCCTGCTTAGACTCTTCAACAGCTTGTGGTCCTGACAACATTCCTGTTGTAGTCTTGCAGAGGTGTTCTCCGGAGCTTTCATCCATACTTTCTAAACTATTTAACAAGTGCTTATCAGAGTCTTGTTTTCCATCATGCTGGAAAGCAGCATCTGTTATCCCTATTTTCAAAAATTCCGGAGAGCGATCTGATTCATCTAACTACCGTCCCATTAGTCTTCTTCCTGTCATAAGCAAGGTTTTTGAATCTTTAATCAACAAACACTTAATCTCTCATCTTGAATCAAATAACTTACTTTCTGATCATCAATATGGATTTCGGTCTTCTCGTTCTACAGCTGATGTGCTAACAGTAATAACCGATAGGTTTTACCGTGCATTAGATAGAGGTGGAGAGGTTAAGGCTATCGCACTTGACATTTCTAAAGCTTTTGATAAAGTTTGGCATGCTGGTCTTCTCCATAAGCTTTCTTCTTATGGTGTAGCTGGTAACGTCTTTAAGATTATTGAGTCCTTTCTTTCCAATCGTAGTATAAAAGTTGTCCTCGATGGACAACACTCTTCTTCACATCCTGTAACTTCAGGGGTTCCTCAAGGTTCAGTCCTTGGCCCTATACTCTTTTTAATTTACATTAACGATCTTCCAGATATTCTTACATCTAAGGTGGCATTATTCGCTGACGACACTACCATTTACTCTTGTCATGATAAGAAGCCTACACTCTCTGATTGCTTGGAGGGGGTATCTGAGCTTGAAAAGGATCTCACTTCTGCTACAGCATGGGGCTCACAGTGGCTGGTGAACTTTAATTCAGATAAAACTCAATTTTATTCGGCCAATCGTTATCGTAATTATTTAGATCTTCCTATATTTATGAATGGTAATGTACTAGATGAGTCATCTACCATTCATCTTCTAGGATTAACTCTTACTTCTGATCTTTCTTTTAAACCGTATATCAAATCCATTACAAAATTAGCATCTGCTAAGGTTGCATCTCTTTATCGAGCTCGACACTTTCTTACACCAGATTCTATTCTCTATCTCTATAAATCTCAAATCCGTCCCTGTATGGAATACTGTTGCCACATCTGGGGCGGATCTTCTAATGATGCTCTTTCTCTTTTAGACAAGGTGCAAAAACGAATTGTAAACATAGTTGGACCTGCTCTGGCAGCGAATCTCCAACCTTTGTCACATCGTCGTAATGTTGCTTCTCTTTCTCTTTTCTACAAATACTATAATGGGCACTGCTCTAAAGAGCTAGCGTCCCTTGCGCCATCTACTAAAATTCATTCTCGTGTTACTCGCCATTCAATTAAGTCTCATCCTTTTTCTGTGACTGTTCCTAAGTGCTTCAAAAACTCTTATTCTTCTAGTTTTTTTCCTCGAACATCAGTTCTTTGGAATTCGCTTCCTTCATCTTGCTTTCCTGATTCATATAATTTGCAATCTTTTAAGTCATCAGTCAATCGTTATCTTGCTCTACAGATTTAGTCTTTTCTCTTCCAGTAACTTCCAACTCTTATAGTGGTTGCTTGCAGCCTTGTTGGAAGTGAAGATGTTAAAAAAAAAAAATAAAAAAAAAAAATAAAAAAAAAAAATAAAAAAAAAAAGTCTTTCATAGTAGACCAGCCAGAGATGTCTCTAGAACGTCTGCAAAAAACGTCTCTAGGGCGTCTTAAAAAGACATTTTTAGGACGTCTGGAATAGACGTCCTCAGGCCTTTCATTTGAGACTAACTAAGAATGTCTTACGGACGAGACTTAAGACGACTTACGGACGTCCTTAGAATGTCAAAATGCCCGCTGGGATTCTGCAACATCAAATTTAATATTATGCTAATAGAACCTATTAGAAAGTTTTTAATATATTGTATCTCTTCTACGATGTGAGGCCATTGCTTTTAGTTTTGCATCTTCACTAAGACCAGAATGAGTGTCAGATTTTATCTTTTGTTGTTGATCTTTACAAACAATGAATAACTTTTCACTGCGTTACATTTAATTGGCCTCATACAATGCTAAAATATTTGCAAGCTTTTCGAAGGTTAGATTTATTCCCTTTGTCTTTTTCCAGTTCCTTTGAAGGTTAGATTTTTTCCCTTTGTCATCATGAATTTCTTGAGGGTTAATTTTTTCCTTTACATAGTTTTCTATTGTTATAAAATCAATATGTCGTGCCATTTTAATTTTAAAAAAAGTATCGAATATTTATGTTGTTATAAGAGATAAGCTATTTGTTATAAGAGATATGTTTGATGAATAAAAAATACTATAAAATAATGTTGCCCGAAATTTGATTCACTACAAGTTAGTATCTATATTTCAAATACTATTAGGTGTACTATTTGTGGTAGTACAAAATATCCAATTAACCATAAACAAAATTACAAAATGTGAAATCGATCGTCGTTTTAAGGGAGTATTTATTTACTAGTCTAAAAGTACTGGGGGGAGTACTTATTTACTAGGAAATAATTACTCTGGGAGTACTTATTTTACGGGGAGTACCTTGAGGCTGCTACACCGGTCATGTAATTTTTTTTTTATATAAGTTATATAAAAAAAGGCAAAAGTGTAAATAAATAAATTTGTACTGTGTTTTTTGTAATTGTACTTTTACCTGAGATAATAAATTCGGTTTTTTCAGTGTTTAGTTTGATTAAAAGTTTCTTGATTGAACTTGAACTTTATTTACTAATTTTTGTGGCCTAATAATGCTTGTGTGTAATCCATTTTCTGTTGTTCTAACTTTGCAATCTGAAACAATTTGACTTAATATAATTTTAGTGTAGATATTGTATAAATAAAAATATAGATGTTGTATAAATGAAACGATTAAATAGACCATTGTCGCACGCCTTAAGACAAATGGAAATGATTTGATTTATATCCAAGGTCAAGGCCGGCGCGATAGGGGGGTGTGGGTTGTTTTTTTTTTTTTTTTTTTGTCGGCAAAAGTTGTAATGGCACCCCCCCACCCCCCCACCCCCCCACGTGACACCTACTCGCGCCTGCCCTGTCCAAGGTATGATACAAAAGCAGCAGGTGAGCGGTATAACGATTGTAGTACGCGTACTGCTGATACCGATAAACTTTTGTTGTAATTAAAAATGAAAAATG